GTTATCTGAGATATCCCAGATTTCACCGGGTTTCCTCCGTCTATAGCTGTTAGTTGGAGGTGATGTGTAGGCTTTTTTTCTCTGTCGAGGGATTTAGAGAGGACTAACTCTGGCACCTTCCTTCCACCGGAGACATCTTTAAGCTTTAAAGTAAAATAATCGTCTTTATTTAAACTATACGATCTCACCGAATTCACTCCGACATCAAGATCTTGCGCAGTTTCCAAAGGAAAACGTGCCCCTGCCGCTGTCGACTCTGCTATCTGCAATGTTGTTTCTGGAGATGGGAATGTAGGGCAATTATCATTGATATCTTGTATTTCCACCTCCACTCGGTACAACTGTAAAGGTTTATCAATGACCACTTGCAACGTCAACACACAGATGGCGCTTTGTCCACATAAAGCCTCTCTGTCTATTCTGTCATTCACCACCAGCTCGCCCTTCTCTGCATCCACGCTGAAATACTGCTCACCAGCCTCAGAAGCAACGCGCAGCTTACGGTCAAAAATCTCAGACAGTCCCAAACCCAGATCTTTGGCAAGATTTCCTACCACAGATCCCCGTTTTAGCTCCTCTGGGATGTTGTAACGAGTTTGTCCGTCTATTGTACTCCACAAAAGAAAGAAAAGATGCCACCAAAGCACCTGCCATCTCCAGTCTCGGTATCCTATTGTCTTTGTCATCCCGGATCCGATATAATTATTTCCCAGAGAAGGAAACAAAAAAACGAAATTTAACATCCATGGCTATAACATTTTAATCCAAGGTAAATATCCGAAATCTCCTCACATAAGAACAAAATTGATTTAAATCTGTTAAGAGCATCGCTTCTCCTCACCCAGCTCATTGCAATATAACTGTTTCGGGTGCTGTGTGTGCATGGGGGAGGGACTAGATCCCTTTGTATGTTTGCACGATTCATTGGTGCACACAATTCATCTATGCTACCCAGTAAGAAGGGAGGTGAGGAGTGCTTTTAAAGACACAGCCACATATGGGGAAAAATTCTATATAAATAAGTAACAATTTGTGAAAGGAATAACGGGATGGTAGAATATCCACGTTATCATTAATCTTCATGCGAGTAAATAAGCTTTGACAACTACAATATTAAAGTTGTCTTCTTATTAAAACTCTTTGTTTTTTATGATTTGGGTGAAAATGCTTGCAGTAAATGAAAGACGTTTGGCTCCTTTGTAAAAAAATTTAAAGCGTCGCTGTCCGCTTCTGTGGTCCTGAAATGTCATTCTAACAACTGTAGGAAGAGCAATATACAAACGCAGTCTAATCCCAGTAAATGGTTTGTTTACAAACACTCAGTCTCAAACGCTTTCTGTTTTTTATTTAAACTTGACATCACAAACAAATATTAGGCAGGAATAAGATCTGAATTCGCTGGCTTAAAGTATTTAAGCAGAGCAAGTGATGATGATGGTATGTTGCTTAAGGAAATTTGAAAAACAAAACAAACAAACAAACAAACAAACAAACATATTTGCACTATTTAATAATGAAAGTACATTTTTTTGGTATACCAGTATAAATATGTTGCCAAAAAGCCAAACTATAGGTACTGATACACATAAAAACATTAAACAAACCGACGGATAACTTGTGCGTAAAATTAAACTAGCCAGTAAAGCACAAAACGGGTAAAAAGAACGATTGCTTTCTTCTCACCTGCTGGCTCTCAAAGGTCCAGGTGCTGTCGGGCAAAGAAGCATCCAGGACACTAATCACCTCCTTAAAGTCTGTGGTGCTGCTGGGTTTGATCAGAGTGAAATCGCTGTACTCTGACATCGGAGACATACAGGACCTGAAGGACTGACTCTGAGACAGCATGTCTCCTCCCAGGACCTCCACGTACTTTATAGGTCCATCAGTGTTGAGCTGAAT